CTAATATCTTTCTACTTACTTGTTCTTAATGTATGATTCTTCATCTAAAATGTTCTTTTATGAATTAGGATTCATTTGAATCCAATTTCACTCAAAAATATGATGTTTTGGAGCATGAACCAATTTATTTAAATTAAGTGTGCAATCTATCAACTAATGATAGATGTGTGCATGTGACTTTAAGGTGTCATATCTTCCTCTCAGCTCATCCAAAATGAGTGATTCTTAGTTTAAAAGTTTCGTATAAGTGTTAGGTTTTCTATCCGACTTGAATTTTTGTAGAACACTTAGTAGAACTCTTTTAATGAGTGTTTTACTAACATGGTGTAATCTACCATTTCAGTTGTGATAAGTTGTATTGCATAAATTATTTGAATTATCATTCCATGCCCAAAATACATGAAATTTGGTCACGATGACTATAACTCAGTGCTATAACCAATGTAAAAAGATGGGAAATTATCTCATTTTTGAAGTCTCTTTATTTTGATCATCTTTAAGTATCATAAGTTTCTGTCCAGGATCAAGATTTTGGGGATTGGTTGATTTTGTAAAATTTGATCTTTTATTGGATTATAGCATCAATTCCGGTATAAATTAATTCATTGATGAGCATATGGACATTATGTATATTTGGACCATGGATATGGGACATAAGTAGACAAATATGGACTTAGGATTTATTAAACCCCATAGGTAGTGATAAATCAATAAGTGATGGTTTTGGATATTCCTTTTGATAGGGAATCGTTGAACTAGTGCGGTGTTCAGACCGAATCTATATTTTGCGGAGCATTACGAAAAGTGAGTTTTCACAGCCCCCTTAGCTTTTTTACCATTTTCGCGTTTTGGGGTGAAAAGCATGATTGAATGTGTTATATGAGCTATTTTTATTACGAAAAGTGAGTATTCACAGCCCCTCTTTCAAAGTATTTATTACGTTTTGGGGGTGAAAAACACGATTGAATGTGTTATATGAGTTATTTTCATTACGAAAAGTGAGTATTCACAGCCCCTCTTTCAAAGTATTTATTACGTTTTGGGGTGAAAAGCACGATTGAATGTGTTATATGAGCTATTTTCATTACGAAAAGTGAGTTTCACAGCCCCTTTTTACCATTTTCGCGTTTTGGGGTGAAAAGCATGATTGAAATTGTGATATGAGCTATTTCATTACGAAAAGTGAGTTTTCACAGCCCCCTTTTTTACCATTTTCGTGTTTTGGGATGAAAAGCATGATTGAAATTGTGATATGAGCTATTTCATTACGGAAAGTGAGTATTCACGACCCCCTTTTTTTATCGTTTTTACATATTTGGGGTGGAAAGCATAATTAAAGAAATGTTTGATAGATTTATATTGATATATGAATCTTATTGTGAGCAATTAAATGTATACACTATTGATGGTATGTTGAGTTTGAAAGTCCCCCTTTGTTTACACTACTATTAACTCATTTTGAGCCTATGATTCTTGTGTGTAGCCCTATTTGGTTGTTATACCCACCCTTTTTACTGACGAGTAGGGGTGCACTTGGTCATTAAAATTTGCTCTACACATGTGACACGAAGTGGTCACCGCTGAGGTAGTCCGGTAGGAGTTCTACACATGTGGGGTTTAGTCCCACCGCTGAGGTAGTCCGACATGAGTTCTACACATGTGGGGTTTAGTCCCACCGCTGAGGTAGTTCGTAAGTATGCTCTACACATGTGGTTCGCTACCACCTCTGAGGTAGTTCGTGGGGCGTTGAAAGTTGTTTAGGTTTAGTAGTGGCTCAACAAATTTATATCATGTGTATGACGTTGTTTTTTTTTAAGATATTGCTCATAAATTTATAACTAAGATTGCTGCATTTGAAATCATTTTTTTTTGTGCATATAAAATCTGTGAACTCTCCAACTTTTGTAGTTGACACTTGTTTTGACGTGCTTTTTCAGGGTAAGAAAGACTCATGGTGACACTTAATAGAAGTCGTGTCACAATCATCGCTTTCAAAATTTCTTTTGTGTTTATTTTGCAAACTTGTATTTGGGATTGTAAACTTTGGTTATGATGTATTTATGTTTTAAATTGTATGGTTGTGTTGTTTATACACTATTGCTATGAGACTCTACCTGCCATACCTCGCTTTTCCGCTTTAGCGGGGTATGACAGTGTTTTTGCTGTGAAGTTTACGTGTAAAAATGTGGTCTCACGGGTCTCACGAAAACAGGCTGGTCTCACGTGAACCCAACCCTATATATATATATATATATATATATATAGACTTGGGATCATGTGAGACCAATGGTTTTTCGTGAGACCCGTAAGATCAATTCACAACCTTTGGATTAGATCTATAATATGAAAATCTAAACATTCATAAATGCCACGAAACTTCTCAATAATCACAAAATTGCCATCATGCAATTTTGACCATTAGATCATTCACTTATAAAGTTGATCAATGAATATAAATTGGTCTTACGAGTCTCAAGAAAAACCTTTGGTCTCACGTGAACTCAACATATATAGAACTCAACATATATATATATATATATATATATATATATATATATATATATATATATATATATATATATAGAGGATGGTTTAATTTTTAAACTATCCATTTCATGTAAATCTTACCAACCAATCATTTAATCATGATCAAAGCTCATGATTAAAACAAGTTATTTTAGTAAAATAAAAAATAAAATAAAATAAAAAAATGTTATTATTTTCTCCAATTAAAGGCAAATCGGGAACAAATTTTACACGTTTGAGATCATTGAAATTTCTTTTCATGGAATTAAATCTCCTTTCCTAAAAATTATCATTAATTAACAATAACAAATGAAACATTTTGAAAACTGAATGAAATATTTTGAAAACTAAATAATATGATTTCATTAGTGGAATCGGTTTCATAAATAAAACAATTTGAAAACTGAACGAAATATTTTAAAAAATGAATAATATGATTTAATTAGTGAATTTGGTTTCATGAATGAAACATTTTGAAAAACTGAATAATATGATTTCATTAGTGAAATTGGTTTCATAAATAAAATATTTTGAAAACTGGATAACATGATTTCATTAGTGAAATTGGTTTCATGGTTTTTAACCAAAATGAAATTGGTTTTATTAATGAACTAAATATGGTTCAGTTAATGTAACATTTTGAAACTGAATAATATGATTTCATTGATGCAATTAGTTTCATGGCTCCTAACCAAAATAAAATTAGTTTCATGAATGAAACATTTTGAAAATTAAATAACATGATTTCATTAATGAAATTTGTAAGGAAATCAATTTATTCATGAATTTTATAAATGAAACGAAACAATATACTCAAAATCTGTAAAATATCACAATTATAATATTAATAAATCTTGAAAGATTTTTTGTAAATTGAAAAAAACAAAATATCGATTTCTTTTGTTATTATGAAAATGAAATAAATAAATTCCTAAGAAAAAAATTATTAAAAAAACTCTGAAATTGATAGATTATTTTTATTTAAGAAAAGAATACAAAATATTAATGTTAGTAAGTATTTATTAAAAATTTACCGGTTTCAAGATTATTATAAAAACAAATTGATTGATCATTTTCTAAAAAACCTCTAATCTATATAATATTTCTGATTTAGACACAATTAAAATATTACTAAAATTATCTATTATAAAGTCAAAAGATAATTATACCCTTATGAATTAAAAATAAAGAAAATTAAATGAAATTATGCTATTGGTTGATGCTAGTTTGTACAGTTTGTACAAAAAGAAGTGGTTTGTATTTGATCGCTCGTGTGTGTGTGTATATGTAGGGTTTGGTTCACGTGAGACCAAATGTTTTTCATGAGACGCGTAAGACTAATTTATGTTCATTGATCAACTTTATAAATTAAATGATCTAATGGTCTAAAGTTGCACGGTGACAATTTTGTGATTATTGAGAGGTTTCATGACAATTTTGTGATTATGAATGTTCAGATTGTAGATCTAATTCAAAAGTTGAGAATTAGTCTTACGAGTCTCACAAAAAACCTTTAGTCTTACATGATCCCAAATATATATATATATATATATGTATGTATGTATGTATGTATGTATGTATGTATGTATGTATGTATGTATGTATGTATGCAGAGGTGTAATATACTCTCCAGGTGGTCGGACTTAAACAATGGATGAGCCCCTACAAAGCTAGAATGGGCCTGGGCACCCCCTGGTTTTTCATTAATATAGAAACTAGAAGAGTACTCGCACAATATAGCGAGACACATCTCGATTTTAATGTTTTAATTTTATTATTTATTTCTGTCGATGTTATAATACAATTTTATGTGTTTTTAAGAACACAATAATGATTTTATTTTTGATAAAATATAAATTTAAATATATCATAAAACTTTGAAAAAAAATATATATCAATGTTAATATCAATTCAACTATTTAAAAGTTCTCATTTATGTAATTTCT